GGGTTCCCCCCGGGAGCCTGACTCCCCTGGAGGCTCTAGGGGGAGTCCGGGCAGCAGAGGAGGACCGGCGGCCGCCGCCGAAGCATGCAGAAGGGCTAAGGCAAGAGCCCCCAAGATCTCTCGGTGAGCGCGAGCCTCCCAGGAATTGTTTTTTGGGGGAGAGGGTGCCGGGGAGGAACTCTTCCCCACCGGCCAGGACCGAGAGCGGTGCGTGGAGCTCCAGCCCAGCGAAGGTTACGGGGATGGGCGCGCCTCCCCCGCAACGTCCCCCACCCCCATCGCGGTTCCTGATCCAGAGCCCGGTTTTCCGGCAAGAAGGAAACTGTGTGGGAAGACAGCTAGAAGCCAGGAGGGAGAGCTTCCCTCCCGGCCAACACCCTCCACCCTTCGCCCATGAACCGTACCCTGTATCAGCGGTTCTCAACCTGTGGGTCCCACCCGGCCTCCTGGCTGCGGGGGTGGCTGCAGCGCTGGGGGCCGGGGGGCTCCGTAAAGGAAGCTCCGCGTTTGCGTGCTTGCGCCGCGGGTCTGGGTCTGAAGACCTAACGGTGAAGCGAGTGCGGGGATCCCTTTCTCCGCTGGGGAGCAGGCGGAGCGGGGCTGTTGCCTCCGATGCCTGGGGGTGGGGGGTGCCTCGTGGCGAGTTGGGGAGCCGCTCCCTCGGCTCCGATGTCGGCAGTTCTCGCCCATTGTGCCACCCAGATAATTATTCAACTATGCAGCATCCATTGCACCTTTCCCGTTTTTCTTCTCCCCTTGCTACAGCGTGCCCCCTAGCTTCGGTCCTCAGGCGCCTTCTCTTGCACTTGCTGATGATGAGCTGGAATAACGATGAACAGAGAGCACATCTGACCCGAACGCTCCCAACCTGTCCTGTAGCCGATTGATTAACTGATCCCCAGCTAGACGGGTACTTTCATACGACTCGGGCGAGTCCTATCCTTGGGTTATATTTTCATTTTTTCCTTGGGTGTTAGACTCACGTATTAGCCAAGTCTTATTTCTGTCCGGTAATCGATGTAATTGATTTATTGGTTATTCAACCCGTCTGATGTTCTTGAATTTAATTTGGATGGTAGGTAACTTTCACTTTTCTAGTGGTTGATAGCACTATATCATCTTCGCACATGCAGTTTCAGTCTTTGAACTCTCAGGAACAGCTTTTCTCATGCCCCAAGTTTCTAAGTTAGGAAAAGTATATTTATGCCGAACCTTTGAATAAAGTACATGGTATAAAATTTCTCAAGCATTCAATAAGAAAAGTTTTGGAATTCTTTATTTTCTAATAACAGAATGAATGATGCTTATCATAGTCTGCAGCTGAGCGAAAGGAAGCATTTAATATTTAAGATGGAGTAATTATGGGAGCAACCTTTTCCTAATTTATCTAAATTTTATTTTTTGTTCATTTCTCTCTTTTGCATTATCATGTATTGAATTACTTGCTACAGGATTTTTTCCTCGTTTTTCTACAATGATGGGTAGGCTCTACTTTTGCATGATCTAACTGAAAGGTGAGGGTTTTTTTGAAAATGGAAGAAACAACTTAGTTATTTGATTCTATGTTAAACACTGTTTACATCTCATTATATTAAAATAAATGGTTCCCTACCAAAAATAAGTGTTTTCTTTTTGTTTTCGTAATCCTCCCTTTCCAGCTTTTCTTGTATGAGCTTGTTGCCATAACCCTCTAGATAAAATGGAATGCACATAGGCATTGCAGAGGCAGCTGCTTTCAGGTACAGTAATTGTTTTGTGGCACTTGAAAGTGGCGCACATATAATTTGATGGGGTAGGATCAGTTGCTTGCTTAGGAAGTGACCTTGCAGCTTACAAAATGGACACCTTTGTGCCTTGATTTCCTTATATGTAAATGGTGACAAAATACCCATTTATTCCACTACTAAGTAGAATGCATAAATTCAGTAAAGATGTTTTCGTAATGCTTTTAAAGATTTAAAAAATGTTTTAACTGATGAATGATGAAAAATATTTCAGTGTAAAATTTCATGAAAAAACGTCAGTAGGTATTTTCTTGACTTTTTAGAATGGTTGATTTACATTGCATTTTGCTTTGGAAGGGTATGGCTCTAAATTGAAGAATGTTTCTCATATATCAAGAGTTTTTAATAATTTAATAGGTATTATAGTTAATATCTGTATGTAATATCTAAATATAGGTATGGTTAGTATGGGTGAAAAAAGTTATAGTACTTGGTAATAAGCAAGCAGAATATTGATTTGAGTTTGTGAAAAATAAAATCTCCAGAAAACATTAAGGCCTTTTTCATTAAAAACTTGTAGCTGACAAAATCCAAAATGCATAGTTGTGATCATTTGTAAGATATGCTATGGAGCTACTTTATTATTCAGGTTTGTAAATAATTATATATTTAGAACTGAGCATTAAGTCCCTAACTTAAAATGGTCCCTGACAATGTATGACTATCGTATAATACTTTATTCATTTTGTTTTATTTTCAGAATAGTCGAAGGTGCCATTTCCAAATGCTTGATTTTCATTATCACAGTACATAGTAGCTTTTGATTTATTTTCAGAGCAAAAACCACTATTAAAATATATTATTAGAGCTCTGCAAAAACAGTGCTTTCGGCTCCTTTGTGAGGCTGCTTTATATAGATGAGACTATTCAGTGTCTTCAAAATTACTATTGTATTGGGTTATTTTTTTTTGGAAAATTAATTTGGTTATATTTTTTAGTGTTTTTTAAAAATGACCAACTGAAATTCAGATGTCATTATCACTTGGGTACATACAGTTAACTCAAGGTTTTTTTTTAAGCTTCTTGAGGACAGGAACTGATTTGATGTTTTTTTTATCATAAATCTAAAGTTGTTAATACAGTGTGTAGCAGGTTGTAGGGGCTCATTGTTTTTTGTTGTTGAACAGATTAAATGAATGAGTGAAGAATATCCATTTATTTAATGTACTGAGTAGAAATTTTAAAAATAGATTTATCAAACAAATTTTAATTCATGAAACATAAACTTTATCTCAAGAGGAAAGAAAAATGTACTTGGATGTTTTTTGAATTTCCACTTATCTGTTCAGATATAATTCATTTACCCATACGTATTTGGAACTAGCTCTAGATATTGTAGAATGTATACATTGTCAACTCTTTATATATGAAATGATAATATTTTTCTTCTTACCTATTATAGCTCTCTACATGAAAATATACACGAAAAGTTTTGTTTTTCCTAAATGAGTATAGAAATGTTTCATTTTTTTTAACTTCGGTTTTCCAGTGAAATATTAATAAAAAGGTGTATGTAGATTATATCCTGTGCTAAATGTTCAAAATACCTAACTTTAAAAATAAATGGTCCCTGAGGTGGAGCTTTGTATAAAATGGCACTTTTTCTGAAATGTGTTTTTAGCTTATCACATTCAGTTTATAATTTTGTATCATTGTGTATTGGTACTTCCTAACTTAAAATGGGATTGATTATACCTTAAAACTTATAAAATGATTTATAACTTGGAACTTACTTTCTCATAAACAGGAAACTTAGTGGTTACATGAATAAACAGCCCACCAAAATCCATAATATAACTTAATTAGAGAATTAGGCTAACTAATAATACTAGAGAATTAAAAAACTATAATAATTTGTACAAAAATAATATTGAACATATTGTGTACAACAATACTCTGTAGAAAAGTCAACTCAGAATCTACCTCAGAATGCTAGGAATACATTTCTCTTGTGTTAGACATGGCAACATTATTAGGCACGTGATCGCTGATACCCGCTGGGCATGGAGAAGAGGGTCTTCTTCAGAAAGTGGTACAGCCTCACCTATGAAGCAGTGATCAGAGGATGGGAGAAATTGGAAAGAGCTAGGAACTTCTATGTAATGTTGGACCAGTCATTTTAGCTCTCAAGAAAGGTCTTTCATTTTTCTCAATTATAAAATGAGGACGTTGAAGTAGATGACCTATGTGGGTCCTTTCAATTACAAATAAAATTCAAAGGCACTTAGAAGCTCATTATAACCTACCCCCCCCCCCCAGGGTTCATTTTTTCCTTTCTAGTATTAATGCTTATATGCTTCCTGTTAGGGATTTTTTTCTTTCTGGATCTACCTCTGAAAAGATTGTAGTCTTAATCTTTTTTTCAAATGCCTATGCTTGAAAGTTAGACTTTTTAGGTTTTTAAAGGAGAGTTTTTTGTTATGGTGGTCAAAATTGATTTGTTGCTGTTACTAGGAATAGGGAAGTCCAAAGAATGGGTGAATTTTCTTTTTGGGGAGAATGGAGAGTCTTGGATGATGAATTTGATTTTGGATATGTTGAATTTGGGTTAATGAAACATTATTGTATTGCTCTCTGGCACACTCATAGCACAGGACTAAATATTTACAGGGATGATAGGTTGTTTGTATAAGTAATTTAGAGGTGACAGTTCAAGATTCTGGAAAGAGATGGATTTATGCATAGAATAGAGTGTAGAAAAGAACTGGGATATAACAAAACTCTTGACTTCTGACTTAATAATTACAGCGTGTGAATTAAGGAGAGCCAGAAGAGAATGTCAAATGTGTGATCAGATAATGATATTGGTGTTGCATTCTGATTTGACTGTTCTGTTGGGACTAGGGTTTGAGGTCTAGGGCAGTTCTCCTTTGAAGAGGAATGGGAAATACTAATGAGGGAGGAAGGGAGGCAAAGGTAGAAAAGTATGTTGATGGTTTTGGAAATAGAGGAGAATAAAAGGATTACAGGAACTTAATAAGGACAAATACATTTTATAATGAGAAATGGGATTGGTAGGATAGAATATGAGGTGTGAAGGGGACATTTTAGAGACGGAGTTCTGGGAGGTAGGACTTTTAAAGAGTGCACAGATACTTGATGTGCTTAGCAGTAGAAGGGAAGGGGTTGCTCCTCAATCTTCAGGACTGGAAGCACTGACCGTGGGAGCCTTCAAGACAGATCGATTTGATTCTGAATTGATTTTTCTACAGAATTACTGTTGTACACAATATGTTCAATATTATTTTTATACAAATTATTATCATTTTTTAATTATATGACCAACAAATCAATTATGACCACTTTAGAAAGCCTTGCTCTACTCTACATGCTTCTAATTCTAACCCTCGGGTTGGCAGGCAGTGTAGGCCACATCATTGGGGTAGGAATATTGGTGAGAGAAAGGGGGTCATTCATTACTAGTGAGTGCTTAACTATAAATGTATCCTCCTTCTTACTTGCAAAAATAAGTCTTTTTTACTATGATAGAGGCAGGCAACAGCTGTGTACCCCGTCAGGGTTAATAAAATAAAAATCATTATTTTCATTGTCTTTCTAGTCATGGAATTAAATGAAATACAGCACGTCTCTTATATGTGTTGATAAAGGACTTAGTTTCATTCATTAGCATTAAAAGGAAACTGTAAATTTCTTTTCTGTAGTGTTACACTAAGTACAAAAAGATGACATTAATGACCTGTCATCAGTTGAACATGAATTTTAAAATATAGTAGGGATGGATTTAGGAGTTCTCCAACTAATTTTAAATTCATTATATTTGCTTATTAAAAGCCTGTTATGTGAAAGGTCATGAAACTGCTGGTTAAAATAGCATTTTCTGTAATATCCTTATGGAGTCTTTTTTTAGGGTAAAGTGAGATAATTGCTATAAAAAGACTTTTGAATTAAGTCTACATTAATATAATATATTACTGTACACTCTCATGGGACCAGAACCATAGTTAAGGCCCTGATTTACATTTTAATGAAATTATTTTAGTATTTTAATATTTCTAATATATGTAATAAATTAGTAGAATAAAAAGTATTTTGGTATTTATCAATTTAAATTTATTATTTTTAGTTTTTAAGTTATCAGGAATATTGAACTTAAACTAAAGAAAGATGGTGATAGTCTATTGAAATTTTTCACTTATT